GACACGGTGCTCCATCGTCCTGGAACAATGTTGTGTTCTCGTCCACAAAACTCGAGGAATAAAGTGGCAAAAGTCCTTGCTCCAAAATTTCGACGTATTTCGCAAAATTTATGTTGCCAACGCACTCCACTAAGCTCGATCTCCCACCAACCCAAACAGCTCCAAAAACCATCACACTGAAACCACCATGCTTCACAGTTGGCTGCAATTTGTTGAGCCAAAACTCTTGGTGAGGCATTCTCCAGACCCATATCCTTCCACCGTCCGAAAATTGAGCGAATCTTGATTCGTCTGAGAACAATATGGTCTTCCAAAAGTCCAAAGGCTTGGTCATCATATCACTTAACCACTTCTTTCGTCTGACTATGTTGGCAGGTCTTAATAAGGGCTTCCATCTAGCTGCTTTGCAACGATAACCCAATCTGTGGAGAATCCGTTGAACAGATTTCGGGCTCATCCCACCAACTTTGGCCATTTCTGCAGTCGTTAATCTGGGATCCATTTCGATGCTCCTCTTGACAGCCCTTTTTGCCCTCTCCGATGAACCAGGACGACCCAGACGCTGCTCCGTTGTATCCTTGCCGTGTTTCCTGAACTGCACGATGATTCTGTTGACTGTCGAAAGCGGGATTCCCCAGTTCTGCAAAATTTGCCACTGACTTATTCCACCATCTGCTTGACCAACTATCCTTCCTCAAACAAAATCTGACAATTTGAGAGAACCTTGAGTTCTTGGCATGTTGTAGCACAAGATAATTAGTGTGCGAACCATTTTCATTTATATAGTGCTCTTCGAACACAAATTTGTTAGCATAAATCAGTTAAATGATGAAAAATTAGGTGTCTATTTACTTGTGACCATTCAGTGTATGTGTCATAAGTTTGTCGGAGTTGTTCATAGAGCTTAATAATGGTGTTCCTGAATTTTGTTAAGCTATATGTGTCATAAGTTTGTCGGAGTTGTTCATAGAGCTTAATAATGGTGTTCCTGAATTTTGTTAAGCTATATGTGTCATAAGTTTGTCATAGTTGTTCTTAGAGCTTAATAATGGTGTTCCTAAATTTTGTTAAGCTATATGTGTCATAAGTTTGTCGTAGATGTTCATAGAGCTTAATAATGGTGTTCCTGAATTTTGTTAAGCTATATGTGTCATAAGTTTGTCATAGTTGTTCTTAGAGCTTAATAATGGTGTTCCTAAATTTTGTTAAGCTATATGTGTCATAAGTTTGTCATAGATGTTCGTAGAGCTTAATAATGGTGTTCCTAAATTTTGTTAAGCTATATGTGTCATAAGTTTGTCGAAGTTGTTCGTAGAGCTTAATAATGGTGTTCCTAAATTTTGTGAAGCTATACGTGTCATAAGTTTGTCGGAGTTGTTCGTAGAGCTTAATAATGGTGTTCCTAAATTTTGTTAAGCTATATGTGTCATAAGTTTGTCAGAGTTGTTCGTAGAGCTTAATAATGGTGTTCTTGAATTTTGTTAAGCTATATGTGTCATAAGTTTGTCGGAGTTGTTCGTAGTGCTTAATAATGGTGTTCCTGAGTTTTTTAAGCTATATGTGTCATAAGTTTGTTGGAGTTGTTCGTAGAGCTTAATAATGGTGTTCCTAAATTTTGTTAAGGCTATATGAGAACTTAAGTTAGTGAGCTCTGCCAGAATGTTATCTTAGTCACTGTAATTAATGTGCTAGTGGCAAGTAAGTAATTTCATATTTACACAGCATTATTAATAACTAGTCTTTCTCTGCTGAAGTGACAGCTTGAACAACAACATGTGTGACTTGTTGCATCCAAATTTGGTAACTGATTCAAAAATTGCTAACTACAGTCACCTTTGATCTGGCTTTGTCTTCATATGGTGTAGGGCTAAGAATTGGCTGTAGGATGTTGCATCAAAACAACTACTGAAAAACACTCCTGATTCCCTGTGTACTGCAGTTGGCTGTAACTTACATTGTATAGTACATACTCTGAGCTGTGAGACACTCATTATATATGGAATGTTAGCTTACAAACTTTTCAAAATAGCTATGTATAAAATGTGGGAGGCTGGAATCAGGGTAGCTATTTTGTTAATGGTCTTTCAGGACACAGGTCTAACTAATTTGTAGCTTTAATTGAGTTGCTCCTTCTATCACCAGCTGTTTCACCCATCTACTTTGCATCGGACAGCCACAGTTGAACATCTTTAGGATGAGAATATGCTGTGTCACATGGTCTTTAGAATGACAGTTTAACATCACTCACTGGGTTGCTTTACAATCCTGATATTGGATATTGGTGTTGTCTATGCTTTACACTTAGGCTCAGTAATCAGGAGAGCTATAAGTATACCACTTCTTAACATGCTGATTCTTTTGAGATGGGAGGTTTATTATTTTGGGAGAATAAACAACTGTCTGCTTGATTACTCTTCCAGCTTCTTCTGTCCAGTACTATAACTAGTAGTTTAAAGACTATTTAAATGTAATATGAAAATCAACACATCATTTGCATAACAGACAGTGTACCTGCTAGATTGAATGTGATGTTCTAATAACCTCATCATTATTAAAGTATTCAGACAGTGTTCTCATATCTTACATTGCTTAGTTGAAATTCTTACATTATTAGAAGGTTAAAGTGATTTGATTTTTGGCCCATTTTCTGGTACATTTAATAGAATATGCAGTTTTATTTACTGTGTCTCCTGGTTTTTTAATTTTATGTTTCCTATAAATTGCATATCATCTCTAATCTGAAGGGGAAACTATTATCAGCCATTCTGTGTACACAGCAGTTTTGATCATCTTCATTGGTTTACCAATAACCCTCACCATCAATGGTATTCACACAACATATTTGTAGTTTGAAGTTGCCCTCATCCATCTGCAGATGTAAAAGTAATTTGGCTTTTGGTGCCAGTCAGTTGGCTTTAAACCTTACTTTCTGAGCTGCAAGTTGCTTTATTGTGCTCAGAACTCACAAAAGAATGCATTTAGTCCAAAGGTAGTGAGTTTGTTCTTAGGCTCCTAAGGTCATCAGTTGATTGGGTAAGCAAAGTGACCTGAGAGTAGTGTTTGCATATAATAATTGTTTTAACAGATATGTAACATTTTTAATTTTTCATAAAGCTAATGTTTGAAAAAATGTATATAATTATTGTGTGTTCTTCTGATTAACTTTTACCCTAAATGCTTTTTATGGATTTTAGATTATTTTTTGAAAGAAGTGTTTCATTTTGAACATTGGTTCAAGAGAGGTGCTCTGAAGAAACATAACATACACAAAACCAGATATATTGAAAACAGAAAACTTGAAAAAAAATTACTGGATAAACTTGCATGCCAGATAGAAAAATAATATTAATAACAATTCTAATTACTATTAATGAACAAGAAATATTTTCATTTGTGTTTTCTTGCTTGACAGGTTAATAACAATTCTAATTACTTGACAGGTGCAAAATTCATCAGGCAAAAAAAAGGGGGCATCCAAAGAAGGTCAGTATATTTTTTAATTTCTCAAACCAGCAAAATTATTTTTAAACATATTTAATATTATTAAACTGTGCTATATTTTTATTTCTACAAAAAGAAAATTATTAGATACATATAAGTAAGTACTATAAATTGTATACAATTATTAACTGACATGGATGATGAGCACCTTTTAAGTGTCAAGTGCACACCTACATATCAAATTTTAAAATGTTAGTAAAAATAATCATTCTAGATTAATTTTTAAAAATTTTTTACTCTATATTTTAGAATTAATATTTTGTCTATTTGGAACATTTATTTACTGTAGTTTCAAAAATGAATAAATATTTGAAGTTTCATATGTGCGTAGCTTCGAAGAGTCTTGTCTGTGGATGATGCATTTATCAATTAAAAACAAATTTCAGCCCATTCCAAAGTATAGCTTTTTGTTTGGTAAGAAATTAGCATCCCTTTAGAACATAATTATCCAAGTCTTGTTTCTTAGTGGTTTTCCTTTGTTAGTGGGTTTGTTACTACAGCTATTTGTTGCCATCCTTTTGTCCTGTCACAGCATGTGATTGGTTTGAACAATAACTAATGAAACACAGCTTTGTAAATAACTATAGGGAATGTTTAAATAAACTGCTTTGAGCAGTAATGTTTGGTTTCTTCAGAAATGAATCTAGAAGCAAAGATGACACTGTTTGGTTTACATTTAACTCAGGATGCACCTTGTGTATCCATAGGCTATCTTTAGTGTAGAGCATTTCTTTGTTGACTGCACTTTCCAAGATGTTGAACTTGTTGGATGTCTTGCAAACAATAACAAAGAATAGCTGACTGATTATATACTGTATTTTGTGCATGCTGATTGATTCTTGAGCTCAAAGTCCACCTTGGACATGTAAATTTGTAGATGATATAAGAGTGATACATTTTTAGGGATCCTGTCTTTAAATTTGAAATAATTACATATACGTGTCTTCAAATTTAATGACAGGATTCTTAAAATGCATTTGTTTCTTTTATAATATTTAAAATGAGTAGATGGAGCCACATCCATATATAAAGTTACATCAAATAAAACTATCATTATTTAACAAAAATATTGTTGCTTCAGAGAATGTTTAGACAAAGGATATTATACTTGAAAGGTGTTGTTAATGAGCTGCATCTGTCTAGAAACTTCTGGGTGACATTTTGAGCTATTAGTGCAGACGAAGATGTGCTCTTGCAGCTTGAAACATTGTCCAGATCTTCCTAGACAGATACAGTTTGTTAATGCTTTCAATAATATTTACCTAGCTTCTGTATTTTAACCATACAACAACCTTTCATTAAAATATTTTACAGATGTACAAAAATGAAATTGTTTAATACATTATATATGAAAATATGGGAATATATATATATATATATAAGCATCCATATACAGTATGTATAATACATAATATTGTTTATTAATATTTTCATCTTAAACAATTTATGACTAAAAACTTGTCCTTAGGTATGTATATATCCCAAAATGTTTTAGATAATAAGTGGATTGTTTGTACAAGTTAGTTACAGAGCTGTTTTTGAATTAAATTTATATAACTGATTGCAGTTAAGTACATTTTGTAAATTTACATACATAGCCACATATGGTTATTTTACCAGAATACGTGCATATTATATCAACCACTTTCCTTGGTGGGACTTACAGTGCTAAAATTTGGGGTTTGATTCCCTGTGGTGGACACATCAGATATCCCAATGTGGCTTTGATTTAAAAAAACAAACAAATATCAACCATATACTATAGTTTTTATGTATTGGAATACACAGTTATGAGCAACTGCTTATAACACATATCAGAAGAGCTTTTGACTTGTGGGAAAGAAAAACATCAATTTACATAATCGAAGGAACAAAGTAATGTTCAAGTTAAACATAGTTTCTGATAAAGTTCAATACTGTAGAGTTATATTTAACCATCATAGTTTTATTTATAAGCAAATTTCTGCCATAAAAAAATTAGCCAAATGAGTTTTATCTTTATTATTTGTACACATACACACAAGATATTTATTATAGTTACAATAATATGTTATATAAATGGTAACATAAATACTCCTATGGTCAGTATGTGAGCTTCTGTCAGTCATATTTCTGTCCCTTTGATCATATAATTTTGGTTATACATTTTACAAACTCTTCTGAGATTACAAGTTTCCACATTTATGAACAGGATCTAGAAGAATAACTGCTTACCTGTATATGAAACATTAATTTTACTGTAACAGTGTCTCTGTTATGTCATTTAAATCTTTTTTTGTTTTACCTTTGTTTAAATTGGTTTTCTCTCTGTGTGTGGTGGTTATTTCTAAAGCATTAGTTTTCCTTTTTTGTTCATCTTCATTTACCATTAGTTATGAGTAATAATATCTTAGTTCCCCTATTGTGTATGTATGGAGTTGCTAGTGATGATTTAACCTTTGTGGATTTTTCTTCTTGTTTTTTGACTTCCCCTGGACTTGCGTTGTTTTGTGTCATGCATCAACATTTATGTGCACGTATTTTAACTTCTTAAATGCTATGGTGAATTTCATGGTAAAGTTAGTTTTGCATTCCTTCTTGCTAGAGTGTATACAGATAGGTGTAACTTTTTCTTGTTGTTTGTTATCACAGACTTATTAGTTGTTTTAAGTATTTATCTTCAAAAACTTAGCATTTGACATCTTAAAAAATAGTTGAATGCCCAAAGAAGATGTGATTTGTTTTCAAGGTTATTTTAGTCTTTTTTCCAGGATTTAATTGATTTTTGATATGATATATTTCACTGAACTTTTATGTGTAAGGTAGTTGGAGTTTCTACCTTTAGTAACATTTATTTTTGGTTCTAATTCTCTAGGTTTTCCTAGAGTGGAAGTATTTTCTGTTGAGATTCTATTGAGTGTGACATATCTTTTCTTGAAATGAGGTATTATGGAGATTTGGTATCTCCCTCTTCATTTTGGTTACAACACTGTGTTCTAATTTTGTTCTTACCAACAAACATTGTCCTCATGTCTTAAATTGCCTGTTGGATGTAAACATTCCAACAGGCAAGGTTAAAATGGTTTGATCTTTTTCAATTTTCTGACATCAGTACTGAAATATGCAACTTTCATCATGCTTCTTGAATTTTTTTTTGTTTTCAGGACATTTTCAACTTTTCATTTTTGAGAGTTCTTTCACATGAATGATTTCAACATGCCCATGCTGTCTTTACTCTCAAAATCTTACATGATTTGTAATCAACTACCTCACATTTATCTTACTACATTTGCAGTTGATTTTCAATTCCTAAAACTTACAGGCAACTGTTATGGCTATCACTTTATTAATGGCAATTCGTATGATATGCTACAATCTACCTCTCATAGAATTTCCCTCACTTCGAAATTTATGAAGTAAGCATGGTTGTTAAGGGGAGATTTTCATCATTATAATATAGTACCTTATAGGCTGTGTGTAGGTTGTAAGTCATGCATACGTCGAACCTGATGCTCAGTAATTGTTTGTGTAAAAAATTAATATTTAAGTTTTCCTTCCTCTGTAATTTAATATATAATTTAGGAAAAAGACATTTATTTAACTTGTCACTATAAGTGCATAATGTAAGGAAAGTAAATTCAATTCAGTAGATTTATCTTGTGTGTAACAGCAATCAGGCACTAACAATTGAAACTTGATGTGCAGTACTTTGAAGTATGATTATATTTTTGCTAAATTTGAAAGTTAATATATAATCTGTTATTACATAAATATCTTTGCATGTAATCAGAAGCATCTTAAAACTGTTCAGATTTATATATCAAGATTTGGGGAAAATTTTATTCAACACTAGCGAAAGTACCCAGCTTCACTCGGGTTATTAGGTTGATATATTCTAGATGACTATGTAAGATGTGTATTCTGAACCAATTTTAGCATCCTGCAGGTGGACATAGTCTTCAACTCGGAGCTTCTTTTGGTTTATGCAAATGAATCGCAGCCTATTAGTTTCAATTTTAGCATACATTACGATTTGCCCATTATGATTTTAGTGATGAGGGTGCAATGGGCTGTGAAACCTTGTAAGTGTAGTGAATATTGGTATGATTTAAAGAAGTTAATAAATAAGCCTAAAGTAAAGACATAATGTGAGATAACCTAGCCTAGAGCCAAGTGCATACAATTTATCATGAAAGTATAAATATCGATCCAATTTTAAAACTTAAATCGTTTCTGAATTAAGGTATTTTCTGTAATATCATCATTGTTTTTAATAAAAAACAAACCTCTTTAATTTCAACATTATATGTCTAGCTATAATATAATTAGAAGGAAGATCATCTTTCTTAGCTTAGGTTATTACCCTCTCTTAACACTGTGACACATGAAAATAGAAGTATCCATATTTTCAACACTAGCTAACAACAAATGTACTTTATGGGTAGCACATGTGATTAACTTAACCTTTTATCAGTTTGTCATTAGGGGTATTTAAAAAACAGATTACTCTGGCACTCTCAGAGAAAAATAAAACTGGTTTTGATACCAAGTCTACATTAAATGAAAAAAAAACTGCACTTCAAATCAAACTGCAGTGTTGATTTTTCACTTTATGTAGGGTTAAGGCCAAAACTAGCTGTAAAATTTATTTATGAGGATTTTAGGGCTTTTTTTTTATGTTTCCATGTTTTGCAATTTTATTTTGACATTTCCAATCTAGCAAACTTTCATTTGTGTGAAGTTAGGCTTGACCACAGTATGCTGAGGTCATACAAGTTGCTACTTATGTATTTAAGCTGCATAGCAGGCAAGCTAGTGAAAAATGTTTTAAATGGTAATTGTACTGAAAATTTATATGAAAAAATGTGATCATTTTATATGAGAAAAACAATCTGCAGTATACAATTTGTAGTTGAACAATGCTTATTTCAAAGCAGCGAGTACATTCTCTTATAGTACCACTGTTAGCAAGCATAGGAACTCTTTGTTTAAAGTGAACTCAT